AAACTTAAATTATGTTTATTTAAATGAGAGACTATTGGCGGACAGTCTGGATGTCAGTAGGATTTATGGGCTCATCACTTGTCAGAATCCTTGGGCCATACAATAGGACATAAGCGCAGTGCCAGTCACCTAAACAAGCATTCAATATTACATAATCGCTAAACAATACAAACAATTACGGGTAGAAACGGTTTGACACATACCTCCACCCGATAGCCTAAGGATATCATCAGCCTTGACAGGAGCGACGGTGTCGTCATCGCATTGGAACCACTCATCTGAAAGAATCAAACATATATTCAATATGCAAAACCCGGGATCTAAAGCTTAGTATATAAGGCATACCCTCTTTCCGTCTGATCCAACCGACGTAATGACCGCTAGAACTGGACCGTCCCTTATGTGTGAGCACTGCCTGCAACTCATAAAAGCCGCTATTATTAGAGCCGATGTCGCCATCGAATGAGTAGTTATGCTTGTGTTTGGGTTTCGATTCGTCGTCGGTTTGAGCGGTCAGTTTGGTCTTCGTTGCGGTTTCTTCGAGCTTTTTATCGGCCATTTCCTTGAATTTGTGACGAATGGGAATCAACTTCTCCTGGAGTTGGGGCGAACACAACTCAAACACATCTAAACTGAGCGTAAACTTAATGTCTTTGAGAATCTTCGCGTTCACAGAACCCCTCTCTTTGTATTCAAATCTGACGAATTGAATGGCAAGATATGCCGGCAAACGGCTTATTGTACTTATTTTCTCGTATTTCGCGTTCTTGTCTAAAGTCGGCGAATACTTCTCAATCGTCTCCTTTAGTCTCAATTTAAGACCCGATTGTAAATACTTGACATCTGAAGGACAATAAAACGGCCATTATTTTAATAAACCAAACATACAATTCAATTACCCGTAGATATAAAACAACTCAATTGGAGAAAATTCTCTGTCGAATGGACCGGCGGTTCGTCTTCGCATTCAATGCACTTCATCTCCACATCAAAGCTTCCGCTAAAGTACTGGTCAATGAAGTTATTGCCAGAACCGGTGTTTATGCGGAGCTTTTGCTGAAGCATACGAATGAGTTCAGTCCAGCACTCGTTGGCGTCCTGTTGTATATAAACCCCTCCCTCGCCCTTCTCTGCAAACCGAGGGAACGCCATATGAAGCACTTGTAGCAGAATTAAGGGCGCGATCTTTGCCGACTTGTCCATCGCTTCGTACAGATCTCGCAATGCAATCGTCAAACTTTGCGACGCCTCCAGAGAGCCGTCGGTTATTGTCAGACGCCCTGAATAGCTGTCAAAACCATTCAACAATTATTATCTCATCGATTGCTCACTAATAACATTATAAGTCATACTTCTTAAGACATTCAATGAGTTCGGGAACAGTTCTGAGGCACTGAACAGTTGCGTTCATATAACAAGTGTTTCCCAGATTCGTGAGACCGGCCGGCAGTTCCAGAGCGTTGGCCAACTCGTGCTCATTCATGTCCTCCACGAACTTCACCTGTTCTTTAGGCGCTTCCGGCAGTTCTTCTTTGGTTCCCATCAATAGAAACGTAATGCCCTGAAGGAGAAGAAGACAACCATTCATTAGACAATACACCGACAACGGGAGGGATGAGTGGGCCGGACATCTTTGATCTGAATGTTGTTCCAGTGGTCGTCCTTAACGGTGGAGCCCTTGAAGAGCAGTTTCTGTCGGTCGGTGTGAACGCCGGTCAACGCAAACAACTGGGCTTTGAAGACAACCGGCGACTCTTCGGTCGTCAACTCCACGTCAGAAAACACCTCTTTATTCCACTTAACCTTAACTGCAATCCAAACCACAATTCA